CCAGCTCTTGTTCATCTTTCTTTCCTCAAGCACTTAAACAACTTTTGGGTTCCAAGCAAATCAGCATGTAACTGTATATTGTCTTCTATCATTTATAATTGGTCAATGTGTGTTAGGGCTCTTCATTGCAAATAACAGAATCTGGTCTCATTAGTAGTTTAAACAGAAAAGAAATTTATTAAAGGATACAGATGGCTCCTAGAATCTCTGAGTGGGCAGGAAATGAGGCTTGGCAGCTATACCAGGCTGATGCCAAAACTGTGCTGTTCTGTTGCTCTAGTGGAGACACTCCTGGTGCCACCACTGGGAAAAAGTGCACTTGTATTCTCACCACTGACACTGGACACTGAACATGACCCCTAGCATGTCTAGCTCTGCTGCCCTTGGAAGCTGGTTGTTTTTTTGCCAGAATGGATTGCAAGCAGTGCTTCCATTTTCACTTCACCCTCTTCTGACCTGCAGTCTCATTTTGTTGTGGAACTGGGGTACCCAGGATGTATCTAGCTGTGTGCAACCCTGAGAAGATGAGTTTTTTGCTTCTATCTTAGGGATGAACTCATAAAGTAGGAGCTTCCAAACATAGAAAGGGTATTTCAAAGGTTATCTTATCTTACCAATATGGCTTATTACCTAAAACACATAACACTCAATAAATACCTGTTGATTTATTACTCTTCAGTATCCTCCATTAAAACAGTACCTTTGGCATCATCTAATCCAGGGGTCTCTAACCCCTGGGCTATGGATGGGTACCGGTCCATGGCCTATTAGGATTCAGGCACACAGCAGGTGAGCGGCAAGCGAGCAAAGCTTCATTTGTATTTACAGCTGCTCCCCATGGCTCACATTACCGCCTGAGCTCCGCCTCCTGTCAGCATTATGGTGAGTTGCATAATTATTTCATTATATATTACGATGTAATAATAATAGAAATAAAGTGCACAATAAATGTAATGCGCTTGAATCATCCAGAAACCATCCTCCCCCACTCCACCCCCATCTGTGGAAAAATTGTCTTCCACGGAAACCAGTCCCTGGTGCCAAAAAGGTTGAGGACCACTGATCTAATCCATACCTTCTGTCTTACAAAAGAGCAAACAGACTCAGAGCAATAAAGTGATTTGACTGTGGTCAGACTTTTAGTTCTTAGTAGAGCTGATGTTATGGTTTGAGGATGTAGTCCAGGAAAGATTCCCAAAGGTCTAATACAATGTACAGTGATGTAATAGCCTTCTTGTGCCGAGAACTGCTTATGTGCCTTATTGTGAAAGTACTAGTTATTCACATTCTTAATATTTTTGGAAACACTCTAAAGTTCTAGATTTGCAAAATAAAAACATTCGTTTATTTTTTTCTATTTTATTGTATGTGGCAGTCTACTAATTTTCCCCCAACATCTTTTCACCCCTTCTTCCACAGTAATAGAAACCCTGAGTTTTTACTGGGCCATGACCACCAAGAATAAAGACTATATTCCCAGCCTCTTTTGCAGCTGTGTGTGGCCATGGGATTACATTCTGGATGTAACCAGAATTATCGTATGCATCTTCTGGGAAACATTCTTAAAATGTTGAGTCATGCCCTTTTCTCTTTCCTCCTTCCTGCTGACTGGAATGCAGTTGGAGCTCTAGAAGCCATCTCAGAAAATAAGGTGAACTTGAGAATGGAGTGCTCACGTGGTAAAGCAAGAAAACAGGACACCAGTTTCCTAACACCATGGAGCACCATACCAACTATGAACTTACTACCTCCAAACTTCTTGTATGTGAGAGACAAACTTTCTACCTTGTTTATTGTTATTTTAGTTTATTTAGTTTTAGTTTTTCTGTTATTTGTAGCTGACCAGATCCTAATTAATAATCCCTGGGCTCAGGACATGGAAGCAACCTAAGTGTCCATTGACAGATGAATGGATAAAGAAGATGTGGCACATATATACAATGGAATATTACCCAGCCATAAAAAAGCGAAATTGAGTTATTTGTAGTGAGGTGGATGGACCTAGAGTCTGTCATACAGAGTGAAGTCAGAAGGAGAAAAACAAATATCGGAATCTAAAAAAAAAATGGTTCTGATGAACATAGGGGCAGGACAGGAATAAAGACACAGATGTAAAGAATGGACTTGAGGACATGGAGAGGGGGAAGTGTAAGATGGGACGAAGTGAGAGAGTTGCGTTGACATATAAACACTATCAAATGTAAATTAGATAGCTAGTGGGAAGCAGCCGAATAGCATAGGGAGATCAGCTCCATGCTTTGTGACCACCTACAGGGGTGGGATAGGGAGGGTGGGAGGGAGACGCAAGAGGGAGGGGATATGGGAATATATGTATACATATAGCTGAAACTAACACAACATTGTAAAGCAATTATACTCCAATAAAGATGTTAACAAAATAAAAAATAAAAATAAAGACACACCAAAATATTTGCTTGTTAAAAAAAAAAAAAATCCCTGGGCTCGTCACCTTGATTACTAATGCTGATGCAGACCCAACTGGGTGATACGATCCCAACCTGGGCATGTTATGTACAAGGCAGGGGCAAGTTGATGCCACAGTCTTGAGATGAAGTCCTCAAGTACATAGCAAATCACTACCACCAGCCAGTCCAGTACTTACCTAAGTGATAAGCCCAAATGACACCAGCCAATAGATAAGACACAGAGACTTTGCTTTTCAAATGTGGTTTAGAAATAGTTCATGGTCTTTTAGTTTTAAAAGATTTACCCCATTTTTCTTCTTTCAAACTTCACCTCTGGACTGGGTTTCCAGCTTTCCAGAAAAACTTTTACACTCTATACTCAATCCTTGTTCTTTGATAGTCTATTTTTCCTTTAACACTGTTCACTCTTTTTTTTTTTTAGCTCTTTCAAATCATTTTAATAACCTGGGAGGTTCGAAGTATGAAAAGATTCAAACATTTTCCCTTTAAAGGGGATGCTACCATCATTGCCTCACAACAAGCATGATCAAAGGCAATGATGAGACTGGATTTCAAAGAGCAAGGGTTGTAGGAAGGCTTCAAGGCTCACGGATTGGAGAGCTTGGTTTCAGAAAGTCTCTCGAAGGCTAGCAGGCAGAAGAGACATGAAATTTTCAAAGATCCTCAGAGGATGGGGCACGGTTTCTGGGTCATGAGCACCTTGAAGTGTCTCTTGATGGTGATTTGGTGTCTAGAATATTTATCCGGGGAGAACCGAACAGGATGGGCCGAGCAGGTCTGTTGTCCCATAGGGTCAAGCTTCTTCAGCATATAGACCCGGTCTCCCAGCTCGTTGAGGTAATACTGGAGAAACCCGACCACACTGAAGCCAGAGGTTCCAATTCCATCTGTAGCTCCTCTAACTGACAGCCTCATGTGTTTTCAACACTATTCACTTTTAAAAACATCAAACAGTTCTAAAAGTTTTAATGACATGGTCTATGAGAAAGTTATTTTTTATATTTCTGGTGCAATTGTTAAGGAAAATATATTTCTAGTATTCCTCACATATGAAAAAGAGGACAGTCTTAGACATTAATATGCCAGTGCCTTACAACTGTGGTAGTTATATTCACACAGACTTACAATCAATTACCAAAGCCTTTACATTTTCTGAAAGGGTCAAACAATTTACAAATTATATGGATAATAATAGGTAACATTTATTAAGTACTATCATTTAATCCTCCTCATAACCCTATGAAGTAGATACTATTATTAATAATAAGGAACTGAAGCAGAAATGTCAACAAGTAGTAAATGATGAAACTGAGATTCAAACCCTCAGAGCTTCACCTCTGGGCTTTTTTGGGGGGCGGGGTGGCATATAACTTCTTAATTTCTCAAAGTGCTTTTTTTTTCTTTTTTTGGCCAGGCAGATTGTGGGATCTTAGTTCCCCCACCAGGGATCAAACCCATGCCTCCTGCAGTGGACGCACTGAGTCTTAACCACTGGACTGCCAGGGAATTCCCTCAAAGTGCTTTTATATTTATTTTATTAGATATAAAGTGGAGAATATAGACTGTTATCTGGATAATTAGAAGAATGCCGCTTGCCTCAGTTACCCGGACTCTTGAAGTTAACATATTTCCCGTTTAAATTAATGTTAATTTTATAAATTGCTTAATATTTTTTATCTTGCATTTATAGAAATAAAACCATAAAATTAAGGAAAATGTGGTACATATACATATTTGCATACATAATTTTAGATAGAGCTTGCAATTTACTTTCTCTTATTCTTTTCACATATTCTATAATTTTAATGAAATATTTCAAGCTACATAAAAGTAGAGAAAGAATGTAGCAAACACCACTCATCTTCTTGGTCTGTCAAATCTTGATGCTATAGGTGCTAAAGGTAACTTTTTTTAGTTTTCTGAATAGTTAACACATTTATATGTTCCAAAAAAGTATGGTGTTAAGTCCCCATCCCACTCTGTCCCGTATGTCCAGTTCCCATCTCCACTTACTTATATATTTATTTTGTGTGCATGTGTGTGCAAGCAAATATATATTGCACGAATATATTTGGACTCACTTAAAAAAAATTAAAGGTAACATATTTTTGACATTCTTCTTTGTGCCCACAATCCTAACACTAACTCTTTACTGCCTCTTTTCTCGGCTCTTTATTCAATTAATAGAACTCTTATGTTCAAGGAATTTTGTTAGTAACTCTGAAGAATCGGTAGTTTCTCGTCAAATTCTGTTTGCCTCCATCCTTTATATTCCGTCCACAACCCAGTTTTCTAAAAACCTGAGATCTACTTCCCAAGTCTGAAGTGCATAGAGCATAACAAACACGAACATCACGCGGACAAGGAGACTAAACTCCTCGGAAGAATTCGGGAGGGCGGAAGCGGTAGGGAAAGCAGTGTGGGATGGGTCGGACGCCGGAAAGGTGGGGATAGACGTGGGTGGGCGGGACCTGGGGGAGGTGGGTCCGGTAGGCACCGCCCAGGCTTTTGGCGCCAAAAGCCAAGGACTCTTCTCGCGAGAGTTTCGCGAGATACACCGTTTCCCGGCCGCGCGGATCCCTGTGCTGTGGCTACTGCAGTCTGCTCGAGGTGAGAGCGGGCTGGCGGGAGAGTGAAGTTCCCGAGGGGAGAGCTGGCCGAGGGAGTCAGGCTGGGGAGCGGGGATGCCGGCAAGTCGCAAGGAGGGAGTGAGGAAGCAGGAGGACATGACTGAGACGGACCTGGGCTGATCGGGACTGGAGAGGAAGGAGGCCTGACCGGCTGCGACCTGTGCGGAGAGAAGGTTGGTGGGGACCAGGGCCGGCGCTTTTACTTCTTGTTTACGATTCGGGTCTGTCTCTCTCTAAACCAGGCCTTTTAGTGCAAGGGAACGTGTGTCAGATACATCTTTATATCTCCAGTTTCTGTACCGGGGCTTCTAAACACTGGAGGCGTCCTGTGAATGTTGAATGAATGAATGAATGTGGTTGATGTGAGAGGACAGACAGGGGAGTGAGGATGAAGGGAGGTCGGAGAAGAGGGATGGGATGGGAAGTGTTGTGGTTTTAGGGCTGGGTAGCAAGGAGGTCATTGAGTCAGTTTGGTAGGACTTCCTAGCGACAGGGACTTCTGTTTTGGTGACTTAGGAAAAGTTGGGCATTGGACACCTAAGGGTCTGGGAACGAATTTGGATATTAAAATTTTTTGTTACCTTCACTCTTCTGCGAGTCTGAGGACTAGAGAAGGAAGTGAAGAGACCTTAATCAATGTCTAAAAAGAGACTAGGCAACCATTGTCAAGAAGTTAAAGACAGAGCTATCTTCTTTTGCGGTACGTGGGCCTCTTACTGTTGTGGCTTCTCCCTTTGCGGAGCAGAGGCTCCGCGCGTAGGCTCAGCGGCCATGGCTCACGGGCCCAGCCGCTCTGCGGCATGTGGGATCCTCCCGGACCGGGGCACGAACCGGCGTCCCCTGCATCGGCAGGCCGACTCTCAACCACTGCACCACCAGGGAAGCCCAAGACAAAGCTATCTTATTCACTACAAATTTCCTGACAAGTCCTACCCCAGGCTTGGCTGGTTCCTTGCATTGCATCGTCACACTTAATATAGTGTGTGCCCTGTTATCTCATTCATCGCTCCCTGTTGGCTTCAAAGGTGTGAGCCCCATTTCTTCCCAGAAGGCTTAACTATTGATAGAGTGAGGCCAAAAAGTTCGTTCCTTTTTTCTGCAAGATGGCTCTAGTAGCGCTTCTTAGTTGTCTTTAACTTCATTTGAAACAATGAAATATCAACGTGCATTTAAAAAAACTTATCAAAATTGGTGAATTTTTGTGTAGCCATTTTAATATTGAAGATGGAAGACAAAAAGCAACACTTTTGGCATAATTATGCTTTGTTATTTCAAGAAAGGTAAAAATGCCACTGAAACATAAAAAAGGATTTGTGCAGTGTATGGAGAAGGTGCTGTGACCGATCGAAGGTGTCAAAAGTGGTTTGTGAAGTTTCGTGCTGGAGATTTCTCTCTGGATGATGCTCCACAGTCAGGTAGATCAGTGACCAAACTGAGACATTAATTGAGAACAATCAAAGTTATACCATGTGGGAGATAGACATACTCAAAATATCCAAATCAAACATTGAAAATCATTTGCACCAGCTTGGTTATGTGAATCACTTTGATGTTTGGGTTCCACATAAGTTAAGCGAAAAACCTTCTTGACCATATTTCCGCACGCGATTCTCTATTTAAATGTAAAGAAAATGTTCCATTTTAAAACAAATTGTGATGGGCAATGAAAAGTGGGTACTGTACAATAATGTGGAATGGAGGAGATCATGGGGAAAGGGAAATGAACTACCACCAACCACACCAAAGGCTGGTCTTCATGCAAAGAAGGTGATGTTGTGTATATGGTGGGATTGGAAGGGAGTCCTCCATTATGAGCTCCTTCCGGAAAACCAAAGATTAATTCCAACAAGTACTGCTCCCAATTAGACCAGCTGAAAGCAGCACTTGACGAAGAGTCCAGAATTGGTGGAAAACGCATAATCTTCCATCAGGATACCACAAGACTGCATGTTTCTTTGATGACCAGGCAAAAACTGTTACAGCTTGGCTAGGAAGTTCTGATTCATCCACCATATTCACTGGACATTGAACCTTCGGATTTCCATTTATTTCAGTCTTTACAAAATTCTCTTAATGGAAAAAATTTCAATTCCCTGGAAGACTGTAAAAGGCACCTGGAACAGTTCTTTGCTCAAAAGGTTAAAAAGTTTTGGAAAGATGGAATTATGAAGTTACCTGAAAAATGGCAGAAGGTAGTGGAACAAAATGGTGAATACGTTGTTCAAAAAATTTCTTGGTAAAAATGAAAAATGTGTTTTTCATTTTTACTTAACCGAAAGAACTTCAATATGACCTTTAACTGCCTTTCCAATTTTGAAAACCTATGGTTGATATATATATATTTTTTTTTATGTACTTGTGGTCTTGGAAGTTTAGAATTGGAGAGACTTTGGAGATCCTCTAGCTCCAGTAGTTTTACAGTTTTGGGGAAGCTTTGGAACTCTTCATTCCTCCATTCAACAATTATTTCTGGGACTTCCCTGGTGGTCCAGTGTCTAAGACTCCGCACTCCCAATGTAGGCGGCCCAGGTTCGATCCCTGGTCAGGGAACTAGATCCCACATACCGCAACTAAGAGTTTGCATGCTGAAACTAAAGATCCCGCATGCCGCAACTAAAGACCCCATATGACACAACGAAGGTCCCACACACAGCAACGAAGATCCCGAGTGCTGCAACTAAGACCCGGCACAGCCAAATAAATATTAAAAAAAAAACCAAATTCTTTCTTTCTTTTATTAGTGGCCGATTGCAGTTATTAAATCCTGCTAGACAGGAATTACAAGTATCATTGCCATCAGAACTCTCCCTGTCCATAAACTCAGGAACTGAACAGATTCAGATAATTTTTTGAGATATCTTTCCTTCATGAACTCTCATGTTATCCCAAACTCAGGAATCTGATAGATTTGGGTAATGCATTACACTTACCCATGACCTGAACTCACTAAAAATAATCCTCACCGTCTGAATTCAGGAAGCACATGGATTTGGACAGTGAGGATTCCTGGGCTACCTGCCCTGGCAGTGAAATGAGAAAGCTCAATTGGCCACCTCAGTTCTGCTCTCTGGGGCCACCCCCTTGTTCCCCTCCTCCAGGGTCCCAGCCTTGCCCTCCAGGAGCCCCTTGCCTGTGCATTTCCCTCTTGGCCACATTTGAAGTAGGCGTTAGGAGGTGTGCCCTCCTTTGGGGCTGCAGAACTGCTCAGGTTTTCTGCTAGTTCGAGTTGGGAGGACCAAGATCAACAGCTATTTCTTGAGCACTGGCTGTATATCACTTCTGGGGATACAGTAGAGGAGCACAGAGACCCACCTTGTCATTGCCCTTTTAGAGCTACAGTCTATGATGGGAGACAGACATTAATCAAATAATCACACAAATAGAACCTAATATTGGAACTGGGTGAGTGCTACAAAACTTGTACTTGACATTTTGAATGCTTGTCATAGGAGGATTTAATTTAGGAAAATTGGGGGAGACTTTTCTGAGGTGACGGTTGAGATCTGAAAAAGATTAGGAGTTATGGAAGAGCCTTCAAGATAGGAAACAGCTTTTGTAAAGGTCTAGTGGCCTGAGGGATAGAAAGAAAAAGCATGGAGAATGGTGTGAAGTAAGTCTGGAGAAGTAGGAAAGTGCTAAACCCTGCAGGGCCTTGGAGTTTTATCATTATCCTAAGAGCAGTAGGAAGCCATTGAAGTATTTAAGCCTAACAGTAATGTGATCACCTTGACATTTCCAAAGGTTCAGTTTAGCTGTAATATGGAGAATGGATTGAAAGGGCAAAATGGATAGGAGTAATGGTGTAATCCAAACAAGAAGTGTTAGGAAGTGGTTGTGGAAATAGGGAGAAATGGACGGACTCAAGGGTTAATCTGGAAGTAAAATGGACAGGGTATTTAGGATGGGGGAATGAAGTGTTAATGAAGTGTTGCAGGTTTCTGATATATAGCTGGATAGGTGTCATTCATTGAATTGGGAAAATTTAGAAGGTTGGTTTTATACATGATGAGTTATAGGTGCCTTTGAGAAATTTTAGAGCTGTAAAATGAGAAGTAGGGATTTAGAGCTCGGATTTGATGCTCAGGTGGAGATAAAAAATTAATGGGTCATCTATAAATTAAAGCCATGTGCATAACTGAGTGAAGAGGGCCTAAGATGAAGTCTTGGATACTAACTGACCAGGTTAGAGGAATATGAATCTGCAAAGAAGATCCAGGAGGAGTGTCCAGGAAGGGAGGAAAGCCAGTTGAGTACTGTGTTTCAGGAGTCAACAAAAACACTTTTCCAGAAAAAGGAACTGATCAAAAGTGTCAGATGTTTCTGAGAGGTCAAGTAAGATGGTACTGAAAAGCATTCTTTCAAGTTACCAACTTAAGGATTATTTCCATTTCTTCAAAGGAAACCTTACTAGAAAACCAATATGTAAACAGTATTTTTATTTTTATCTTTCCTTTTTCGGTCCTCCTGCACAGCTTATGGCATATTAGTTCCTGGAGCAGGGATTGAACCCGGGCCCTCAGCAGTGAGAACACAGAGCCCTAACCACTGGACTACCAGGGAATTCCCAACAGTATTTTTAAAAAGCTTCTCTGGTTGAAGTGGGGGTGAGGTATTGTACCCTGCCTATTTCACACCCCTTTGGACCACAATTTGAAACCCTCTGAAAAGTTAAAATCATCATTTTATGATGGGGAAACTCAACAGTTGAGGTAAAATGATTTGCTCAAAATCATATTGTTATTTAGTGGTAGGGTCTACATTAGAACTCAGTTCTAATTTCTAACTTTGTTCTTTTTTCCATAACTGCTATCTTCTTCACTTCAGTTCACGATGTGTGAGTTTGAAATATGGTTTAACTGACTGAAACACGTGCATTTTGCTGCAAGTGGAACTTAACTGTGTAATAAGAAGACTACTTGGATGCATAAACATGTTTACTTTTTTTCCCCCCTAGAGGAAAAGATGCTAGAACCACAGGAGAATGGCTTGATTGACCTACCAGATTATGAGCATATAGAAGATGAAACTTTTCCTCCATTCCCACCTCCAGCCTCTCCAGAGAGAGAAGATGGTGAAGGAGCTGAACCTGAAGAAGGTCTGTATAGGGTTCCAAAGTGGTGTCCATGTTCAGCTATCCATCTAACAGCTTAGAAATGATACATTTTATAAATGAGGCTTAAATTACTTAAGTAATATTAAATCTTGGTATATTTCACCAGAGTTAGGGAGAGGAGCACCTGTTCCTGTACCTCCAAAGAGAACAGTTAAAAGGAATATACCCAAGCTGAATGCTGAGAGGTACATTTACTATTTCCTTAAGTATTTATACTTTTCTTTCCATCATTTTTTCCCTTTTATGTTACAGGCTTTTGGTTGGGATGATTTGGAGATCAGACATTTTTCTCAGTTCAGTAGTTAATATTTTTTTCTTCTTATGGTCTTGGTTTGGCCTTGATGGCTTTAGAAAACTTGAAATTTAAAACATATTTCTATTCACAGATTAATTTCAGAGAGAGGGCTTCCAGCCTTAAGGCATGTGTTTGATAAGGCAAAATTCAAAGGTAAAGGTCATGAGGTAAGAAGTGTCTGATTTTTATTTTAGACCTTTGTTTTTTAAAATATCGATAAGACTGTGGGCCCATTATCATGTTCTTAGGAATCTTAGAATGTTTCACAGATACCATCATTCATCATCATGTCTCTTTAGAAACTATGATGTAGTAGAAAGGACACTATTTGAAGACATTTAGGAACTGCACAAATGTAAATCCCATTTAAAAATTCTCTTTGAATCGTGCAGCATGTAGGTACAATTGTTTGCAGATGATACCTTTGTAGAGCTTTGCAGTTTATGAAGTATTTTCAATTATATTCTTTCATTATCAACCTCTGGGGTAGGTGTTGGTCCCGTTACCTAGTGAAGGACGCTGAGTTTTAGAGTTTTAAGCCTCCACTGCCGGTGGTTAAGGGCAGAGCCTCGACTTTCCATTTCACAGCCCAGCTAGAGTAACATTAACACAGCATGAGCATGATCTTGGTGTGGTATTCAGGATAGTTGGAAAGAGGGAAGCAGCTGGAGGCAGATAGCAATTCAGAGGCTATTTCACTACCAGCAGAATGAGGTGAAATAGCCTGGATAGGGTAATAGTAGAGAGATGAACAATATATAATACTTGGAGGTGATTGGGAGGTACAAAAGTAAAAATTAATCCCAAGATTTCAAACCTGGGAGGCTGAAAATTGTAGTACACTTGCTTAGTTTTGGTGGACAGGAAGGGAGAATATAAGTCTGTGTCCTATTTTGCCACAAAACTAAACATAAATCAAGATATTTTAAAACCATGCCCAGCTCGGTTAATTCATTGCTCTTATTGAAATTTCCAGGTAGTAGTGATGAATTGGTGCTTTGAATTTATGACCTCTTCATCACTTTCATAATAAGTACTTTAAAAGATAAATAAACTTATACAAAGGATAAATATTTTGTGTTCCTTCACTAGGTGAGGTTGGGCTCTGAGTTTGTCTAGTCTTCTGTACTTTGCCTTTGAAAATTCTACTATTTTCTAACGAAGTTGAATCCTCGATGCTTTTTTCTCCATGTATGACTTGGGACTTCACACTGTATTTAGGTATTTCTCTTCTCTGTCCCTTGGGTGTAATGTGATATTGTGAGGTGGCTGATCAGCTATCCCAACGACTGGAAAATGGTCATAGGTGATTGAACTTTTTTTTTTAATTTAAAAAAATTTTTATTTTATTATCTTTGACTGTATTGGGTCTTCATTGCTGCACGTGAGCTTTCCCTAGTTGCGGCGAGCAGGGGCTACTCTTTGTTGCAGTGCATGGGCTTCTCATTGCAGTGGCTTCTCTTGTTGCGGAGCACGGGCTCTAGGCGTGTGGGCTTCAGTAGTTGTGGCTCACAGGCTCTAGAGTGCAGGCTCAGTAGTTGTGGCGCACGGGCTTAGTTGCTCCACGGCATGTGGGATCTTCCCGGACCAGGGATCGAACCCGTGTCCCCTGCATTGGCAGGCAGATTCTTATCCACTGCGCTACCAGGGAAGCCGGATGATTGAACTTTTGAAAGAACTTTTATCTTTATCAGAATGAGAATGAAATGACATTATGTTCTCAGCATTACATATTGAGTTATTGGTAGAGTTGATTGTTTTAACCATTAGCTTCTTAGACAAGATCATATACCACCACAAACAAAAATTGCCAACATTTGAGGACTTGCTTTGTGTCAGGCACTTTACTTGTATTACTTAATCCTCCTAACAACCCAGTGAGGTATGTATGTTCTCGTTTTATTCATGAAGAAAAAGGCACACAGAGGTAAAGTGATTTGTTCAAAGTCACACAGCTATTAAGTGGTAGAATTTAGATTTGAATCTATGCAGTCTGATCCAGAGCTTTTAACCAGTCTCCTATTTTAAAATACTATAAGAAAATAAAAAAATATTGTACAGTAAAATCAGGAACTTGGAACTTTTTTCATTTATTACTCCAGTTTATTAAACTTTGTTTTTCATTTGCATTAAAAATTTTTTAATGTTAAATTGAAATTTCAAATATAGAGAGGTATTGTGGTCTGAGAATGTTTACACTGTTCTTGCTAGTCTTTGGTACTTTGCCCTTGGGATTTCTGAATATATTTTCACAGAGCTGATTCTCAATGCTTTCTGTATATCGTTTAGAGACCTGTCAGTTTGTATAGTTATTTCTAAAAGCTATCTTGCCATATTTTATTGAAGTTTATTTTCAAGTATTTATAGGTCTGAAAAGACACATGTGATTATCTTTTAACTTTTATTAAGTTTTCATACTGGGTTTCTTTTTTCCTCTGATTTTAAAAAATCTATCCAGTGCTATAGATTGCAGTCCTCTAAGCCAGCAGTCCCCAACCTTTTTGGCACCAGGGACTGGTTTCGTGGAAGACAGTTTTTCCCGGGGGACGAGGGGTGGTGAGGGGTGTGGGGGATGGGTCAGGTGGTAATGTGAGCGATGGGGAGCGGCAGATGAAGCTTCGCTCTCTTGCTCGCCCATTGCTCACCTCCTGCTGTGCGGCCCAGTTCCTAACCCACCATGGACCGGTCCATGGCCGGGGGTTGGGGACACCTGCTCTAAGCCCTTGATAAATATTTTTCTTCTTAAAGTTTCTTCTAAAAGTTTATTAACCTTATAAATATAAAAGGACACGAGTGACTTTGATACTATTATTCAGTTCTAAAATCTGCTGACAAGGTCAGTTGTGAGAATGAGTCTTCTATTTAGCATTTTTATTTTTATGTTCCAGGCTGAGGACTTGAAGACACTAATCAGACACATGGAGCACTGGGCGCATAGGCTATTCCCTAAACTGCAATTTGAAGATTTTATTGACAGAGTTGAATATCTGGGAAATAAAAAGGAAGTTCAGGTTGGTGTTGAGATCATTATGAATATCATTCACAATGCTAAATTGTATAAGGATAGATTAGTGAGGCTAAGTAGCTCTTTGGGGGTCTTCATTTTCAGTCTCAGTAGAGAGAAGGAACTAATAGTAGCTATTTGAACAACTTTTTTTGAAACTAATAATAAAATCAGTGACCGTTTTCCCCCAAATCTAAGTGAAAATGTAAAAATGTTTTTTATTTTCAGACCTGTTTAAAACGAATTCGACTTGATCTCCCTATTTTACATGAAGATTTTGTTAGCAATAATGGTAAGAATATAGGTTTATCTACTTTATAATAATTTTGCTTTTAGAAATAGATCTAGTTGGGGTAGGCAGTGTTACAGGAATGGGTTCTTAGTCTATTTTGAGTATATAAAGTACAGTAAATAGGAATGAGTTAAGATGCCTTGGTACGTCTAGAATGTTGTGCATGATATTTGTTTCTTAAAGACATGGTGGTATGCCATTAAGAGATGTTGTAAAATATATTTAGCCACAGAACATGAGCTTTTGAGAACTCATGATGATGACCCATTGATCCTTTGTAGTGCTTGCTAATAAAAATATATGACAAGATACAGTGTTCATATACATGTCCACCATTATAAAAAAGTGGCTCTGGGGCTTACCTGGTGGGAGAGGCCACAACAGTGAGAGGCCCGCGTACCGCAAAAAAAAAAAAAAAAAAAAAAAGTGGCTCTGAGGAATTAGGCAGAACAATTTGATGATGAAATAGGTCACATCTCACACAAGAGTACAGATCTTGTATATAGGACTTTAATTAGACCTATGTGACTGTTCCTGGTATTGATTGCATTTGTTAGTTGTACAATGCAACCATAGGCAGTCACACACATCAAAACATATGGTTCCTGCCGACAGAGTCTGTATAGTTGTCAGATTTTCTGTGCGATGGCTCCATACATGTTTGTTTTTTGTTTTTAAAAAATTTAATAGATGTAGCAGAAAATACAGGCTCCATATAGAATCCCCCCAAATTATTTATAAACTGCTTTTAAAAGTGTGAAGGATTGTGATTTAAATAATCCAAGATTTAATTACTTGGTAAGGTATGGTACGAATTGATGTTATGGGATTTGATAGATGGAAAGGAATTAGTTATTAGAGTCTAAATCCCACAGCGTATACTACTGGGTCAGTTAGCTTATTCATCGAACTTTTTTTTTTTTTTTTTTTTTTTTGCGGTACGCGGGCCTCTCACTGTTGTGGCCTCTCCCTTTGTGGAGCACAGGCTCCGCACGCACAGGCTCAGCGGCCATGGCTCAGCGGCCCAGCCGCTCTGCGGCATGTGGGATCTTCCCGGACCAGGGCACGAACCCATGTCCCCTGCATCGGCAGGTGGACTCTCAACCACTGCGCCACCAGGGAAGCCCTCATCGAACTTTTTGAGCTGCGTACTATGTGCTAAAGGTTTAGGGATAAAGGTGAATGCAATCAGACCCCTTGCTTCATGGGCTAACATACCGTGAACTAGTAACATGCCAGTAGTCTGCAAGGTGCTGTAATTGGAGATGAACAGGGGACAGCGTACGGGGCAAAGGAGAACACAGTTACTTTTACCTAGGGGAGAGGAAAGCTTGGTAGGAGAGGGGAAAGCTTTACAGAGGAGGTATCACAAGTACTTTAAATGATAAGCAGTAGAAGTTAGGCAGAGGTGATTTTGGATAGAGGCAGCTACTTATGCAGAGGCATAAATGAACATGGCACCATTCATGGAATTACAGGCAAGTTGCGGTATAGGGTACATACAGGAGGCCTGTATCAGAGAGCCTTGTTAGTTGTTGAATCTGTTTTCTTTGTATTCTAAGAGAATAGTCTCCAGACTTTTGCATGAGGCACTACAACAGTAAAAATGTTTTGAACATTTTATTTTTCTAATACATGTACTGCTGTACTGATATGATATATAATGTACATTTTGATCTTAACATTGCAGTTTTAAAGTAAGAACAATATGATTGAATATTCTACTGAATAATTTTTACCAAAAATTTTGGGCTAATACTTTTTGATCAGTGGTTTGAAGGTTTGGTTGTAGATTCAGTTTTTTCTCCCAAATCTTGGTTTTAACCTTTCTAAGATGCGTAAACCCAAATGGAAGTAGAGCATCATTAACTGCACTTAGTAAATCTTGGTATTCATCTTTCAGTCTCATTCACCAGTGCAAGGACTTTTGTTGACGTTTACTAGCAAATTTTCATCTGCCCCTTTTCAATCGTTTTACTTAAAATTAGTTTTTATATTTTTAGCATGTGTCGTCATGTCATTCCTCTGCTCAGAGCCCTGTAGTAGTTCCTTATTTCAATCAAAGTAAAAGCCACAGTCTTTATATTGTCCTACTTGGCCCTATAGAATCTTGTTTTTGTGTCCTTATCCCATTCCTCTTGCCTCCCTGACGGTATCTTTACTATTCCGTTGCTTCAGCCACACTTGCATCCTAGCTGTTCCTTGAGCCTTCCAGGCATATTTCTATCTTAAGGCTTTTGCACTCTGCCTTGAACACTGTCCTTTCCCTCTCTCCTGCCCCTAAATCTGCATGGCTAACTCTCTCACCCGTGTCAAACTGTTTTCAAATGTCAGTTGAGTGAAGTCTCCCCTACCACACTGTTAAAATTGGACCCTCAGCCCCATTCCTGATTTCACTATGCTTTTTTTAAATAGCTCTTATTTCCCTTTAATTATTATGTAGTTTATCTGTTAGTTTATATGTACCAGAGTGATGGCATCCTGTAGCACATTGAATATTTTTGGCTTTAGCTTCTTTGCCACAATAGCTTGCCTATGAATGTGGCAGTGAATGAATTTCATGTGTGGTTCTAATTTTTTTTAATGCCACCTTTATCCTAGTCAAAAGTGGTTATATTCACATGGATTTTCTGTTAAGACATTGTTTGTACTAAAGAGGTCATTTACTGTTGAAGAGATCTTTCCTTTCATGGCTCACAGAAAAGTATTGAATAGTTTTTTATGTATTTCATTACTATTAATTCAGAATCCTATAAGCCCTATAAGGTGAAGCGTATTAGAAATCCTGTATATTGCATAGTTGGTTCTAATACTTGTTTCTTAACTTTTCCAGCAATGTTTTCTAAATGTACTCCATCAATATTTCCTGACAAAGGAATGTATTTTAGTTTCTTGACACATTTTTTTCCATATCAGGAAGGAAAAGTATATGGCTGTCTTTCACTATTAAGGAAGAAACCTCAAAAGGGGCTTAGATTGTAAAATGTTGGATTAAATACATGATTTTTAAACCTCACTGGTTTGTCTTTATGTTTTAAATGTTTTGCTAGTTGTGATGGTTTTTACTGGCATTAGCTAATACCTCACTGTACAATATGTGCATAGGACAAGGAGAGTAATTGTAAGCTCATTTCAAATGGTGGTCTTGGTGATAATGAAGTTTTTTTTTACCTACTTGTCAGATCTGATGAGGTTATTTATTTTTTTTTTTTTAACACCATAATGTGAATGATACAGAGAGAAGGTGAAGTGTCAGCTTTGCCATCTTCTTAGTTCTTGCTTGTACTTCTGTTATCTTCTACCTACAGGTGTTTTGTTATTTTGCAGAAATCTTTTAAAGCTACCATTTGTGCATTTTGTTAGGGTTGTTTTGGTTAAAATAGATAGTGTGTCAGGTTGCCTAACTGGGTAGTCAGAATTAGCCATATATCATAGTATGCTGAAATTAAAAAATGAGTGAGGACCCAATTCCACCCTTCCGCAGTATGAGCTTGCTGTCTTGAAGGTAGCTTACAGACCAGATGATTAGCTGTCATATGGATAAGTGATAGTTTGTCACTGCCAGTTCTTTTAAATATAAGTTAGTAAAACTTAATTTTTCGTAATTCTTAAATGAAATATAAATGGAAGATCTAGTATTTACTTTTCATACCCTGCGGATCATTTTAGGAACATCCTACTTTGAGATAACTGGTGTACAGGACTTTAAGAATTTATTAAGACTAATCATGTAGAGAGCACTGAATTTTTTAAAAAGTTAACTTGGAAATATGTCCACAGATCTCTAAATTTCTTCCCCTTTTTCACTTTGTGTCTCAGTTTTACCGTACCCAAAAAATAGCCTATATAAAATCATTACTGTGTATCATACAGACAATATGGCAAGCTACTAAAATGTTTTTAATATAAAACAAGGATAGGGCTTTCCTGGTGGCGCAGTGGTTAAGAATCCACCTGCCAATGCAAGGGACACGGGTTCGAGCCCTGGTCCCGGAAGATCCCACATGCTGCGGAGCAACTAAGCCCGTGCTCCACAACTACTGAGCTTGTGCTCTAGAGCCCGCAAGCCACAACTACTGAAGCCTGCGCACCTAGAGCCTGTGCTCCACAAAAGAGAAACCACCGCAGTGAGAAACCCGCACACCGCAAGGAAGAGTAGCCCCCACTCGCCGCAACTAGAGAAAAAGCCTGCACACAGCAACAAAGACCCAGCGCAGCCAAAAATAAATAAATTAATTAAAAGAAAAACACAACAAGGATATACTTTGGATTCTTTAAGTTCTTTTATTAGCAACTAAGAACTTTTGCTTTCTGTTCATGCATGTTTTTAAACTAGTATTCCATTTGACTTAAAATGCCTCTTTAAAGTGATTAATAAATATTCCTTCTACTTGTTTGAATCAAGCATGTAACATTCTCATACCTCACAAATTGTTTCTTCAGGTCTGGCACCTTGTTGCTTTAAACTGGTTTTCAGTTAATAGCTGCATAAGCTCTTTTTCTAACTAATTTAACACTACAGATGTACTAATTTTTTCTTTTCTACTGCAGATGAAGTAGGGGAAAATAATGGCCATGGTGTAAATGCTACCGAGTTAGATCCCTTTCTGACAAACTCATCTGAAAGTGCAAAGTTTGCTTCTGAGTCGAGTAGAAGCCTAACAGAAGAACAACAACAAAGAATTGAGAGAAATAAACAACTGGCCTTGGAAAGAAGACAGGCAAAGCTACTGAGTAATAGTCAGTCCCTAGGAAATGGTAAATTTTATGCTGGATTTTATGTGCTACCATTAATATATCAAGGGCATGTTAGACATTTTAACTTCTTTACTCTTCCCCAAAATAAAATACCTCTAGGAATAGACAAATGTGATATAGTATATTAAGCTTACGTATATTTGAGAGAGAGTGGGCTTGAGAGCTAGCTGGAATCCTCAAAGAATATATGCGTCCAGGATGGTTTTCTGGGTAGCTGAGTGTCTCTTAAAAAATTGTTTTAATCATTTAAAATTGATTCTGGATCTTTCGAAAACATATTCTTCCCTGACTCCTTAAAACATGTGACATACAATTTTATCGTTATGATAATTAAAACATTACTGTGGTACTTTCCTAAACATATAAAATTCTTTGTACCCATTGAGGACTTTAGAGCCATTTGCTGTGACATGAATAGGTCCAAAAATGCTTTTTATTGCAGCGTTTCACTTCTGTTGTGAGCCGTCATGTTTGATTTCTTGTTGATTCCCTTGTCTCTTTTAAAACTGCCTTAAAATTTGCTGTTTTTTAAACAGACTGTGGGTTTGGAAACTAGACAAGTTTGTTAAAACTATATTTAAAAATAATTGCAAATTGGTTTTGAATGAAGCACGCACAGTCGCATTTATCTTTGTCAATTTCCAATCCAGTTTTTTCCTTTTGAAATAGGAAAATAGGAATTACAGTAAGTAGTGAAGATTACATGTTGTAAAACAAGTTTCACCCAAAATAATGAAATTCTCAAGTGAAAATTATTCAGTGGTATTATTATGATTTTTTTCCAGTTAGAATGATTTTTTTTTTTTAACATCTTTATTGGAGTATAATCGCTTTACAGTGTTGTGTTCGTTTCTGGTGTTTAACACAGTGAATCAGCTAAACATATACATATATTCCCACATCTCCTCCCTCTTGTGTCTCCCTATCCCACCCCTCTGGGTGGTCACAAAGCACCGAGCTGATCTCCCTGTGCTACGTGGCTGCTTCCCACTAGCTATCTGTTTTACATTTGATAGTGTATATATGTCAATGCCACTCTCTCACTTCGTCCCAGCTTACCCTTCCACCTCCCCATGTCCTCAAGTCTATTCTCTACGTCTGCATCTTTATTCCTGTCCTGTCCCTATGTTCATCAGAACCATTTTTTTTTTAGATTCTATATAAATGTGTTAGCATACGGTATTTTTCTCTTCCTGACTTACTTCACTTTGTATGAGACTCTAGGTCCATCCACCTCACTACAAATAACTCAATTTCATTTCCTTTTATGGCTGAGTAATATTCCATTGTATATATGTGCCACATCTTCTTTATCCATTCATCTGTCTAGTGGACACTTAAGTTGCTTCCATGTCCTGGCTATTGTAAATAGTGCTGCAATGAACATTGTGGTACATGACTCTTAAAAATACGGAATGCTTCAGGAATTTGTGTCTCATACTTGCACAGCGGCCATGGTAATCTTCTCTATCATTCCAATTTTAGTATATGTGCTGCTGAAGCAAGCACTATTTTTTTTTTTTTAAGTTTCAAAAAATTTTTAATTATTTATTTTTGTTTGGCTGCATTGGGTCTTTGTTGCTGCACGTGGGCTTTCTCTGGTTGGAGCAAGCAGGGGCTACTCTTCATTGCAGTGCGCAGGCTTCTCATTGCAGTGGCTTCTCTTGTTGCGGAGCATGGGCTCTAGGCGCATGGGCTTCAGTAGTTGCAGCACGTGGGCTCAGTAGTTGCGGCACGTGGGCCCTAGAGCGTGGGCTTCTGTAGTTGAGGCTCGTGGTCTCTAGAGCACAGGCTCAGTAGTTGTGGTGCATGGGCTTAGTTGCTCCGCGCCGTGTGGGATCTTCCCGGACCAGGGATCGAACCTGTGTAGACCCTATATTGGCAGGAGGATTCTTAACCACTGTGCCACCAGGGAAGTCCAGGATGAATTTAACTTTTAACTTAACAAATGGATGTTTTGTACTACCTTGTGAAAAATTTAATGAAGATACAACTATTGTTGATGACAGTTCTTCCTTGCTGTCATTATCAAAGTTTACGTGGCAATAAGCATTTTAAGGCTCATCTTCTATTTATAATATATGACTTTAAGGGACTTCCCTGGTGGTGTAGTGGATAAGAATCCGCCTGCCAGTGCAGGGGCATGGGTTCAATCTCTGGTCCAGGAAGATCCCACATGCCATGGAGCAACTAAGCCTGTGCGCCACACCACTGAGCCTGTGTTCTAGAGCCCATGAGCCACAACTACTGAGTTCTTGTGCCACAGCTACTGAAGCCCATGCGCCCTAGAGCCCATGCTCCGCAACAAGAGAGACCACCGCAATGAGAAGCCCACGCACCGCAACTAGAGAAAGCCCGTGCACAGCAACAAAGACCCAACGCAGCCAAAAAAAATAAAGATTAAACAAAAGATATTTATAATATATGCCTTTAAAATTTTTCACTAGAAATGAGTATCTTAAATGTTCTTTACTGTAGATCCCTTTGATATACATCTCATAAGAACATTTGATTTTTAAAAACTTCTATCTAGTAGTTGTGATTTTTAAAATGAGAACAGTTGCATTTGACTGATTCAAAAGTCTGAGTTCAAGACTTGCATTTTGAATGGATTTTATACATGTATAAAAATGGCTTTATTTGGAAGAAAGTTATCATAATTAACATTAACTAAAGTGATCATAGATTTCATCTCTACTGATTTAAACATGTGAAGAAGTTTGTATTAGGTAAGATTGGATCAGGTGCTTGTAATGAATAATAATGATTTCTCTTGCAGACTTGTTAATGAACACACCCAGTACACAGACACCTGAAGAGGGTAGTACAGGTGAGGAGCAAAAGGAGGAAGAATCAAATGGATTTAACAAAGACCTTCTAGATTATCCACATAGTGATGCTGCTGCCAATACTGTAAGTGAAGAGGAGGAATTAAAAATAGAGAAAATGCAACTGGACCAGTCCTTTTAAAATACATAATAGTAAGTTAAGGCTTCATCTAGAAATGTTACTGAGGTCGGATAGGCCTCAAATGAGAAAATCTATTAACTTGCTGTCTTCCAAATTTGAGATGACTATGCATTTTGCCTACTTTGAGTGAAAATCCTTATATAGTGAAACTTTTATAGATTCCTGTTTAAAATCTGGTATTATCTATACTTGTTTCTTATTCACTTTCGTTGTCTATTTATTCTCCTTAGTGTTTATTTTTATATGGGTATGACCTTGTAAAAATGATTGGTAGTTAATAAGTAGCTTCAACTGCTAGTGTGCCATTGAATGCCCTGTTTTTACTAAGTTGGGTGGTGTTTTAAGATGTAAATATGTAATAAATGCTAATGTTCTTTTTTTTTTTTTAAATAATAAGCTCACAAACTATCCCTAGAGGCTTTATAAAAGTTTCTCATTGCTATTTAGTTCTACACTTTACACTTTTGGTAAAATGTTCACAGTTGTTATATGTGTTTACATGTCTTTTGAGGAATCACTTTAATACTTAAAGGGTCACGTGAAAAGCTGATACATTGCCTGGCCTGCATAGGTGCTGGGGAAGTTCACATGCTCCTTGGTACCTTACTGACTAGTTAGTTGGAGAGAAACTTGCAAAGTATAATGGAGAACACAGAGCACGTAGGGAGGATTCAGTGGAGATGCCAAGGATTGGGAAGAACATGTACAATAATATAGAAATGAAAATCTAGGAAATGAGAGCTTTGGGAATGGTGAATATGAGGCTGAAGTGTTAGGGCCACGTGGTGGGAGGACCTAATTGGAGTTTTTCCTGCCTGAGTTTATCAACTTGGTGGAAGGGTAGCTGCAGATAGAAAGTACCACGTTGAGAATCAAGTTTAGAGGTTGGTCTGGTTCTTGGCAGGAGATTCCCATGGGGGAGAGGGAAAGGCAAAGCTAGTTTTTACAAACTAGGACATGGGAAGGTTGCTTTTTTGGGGGAAGACTGGCAGAGTGATGGTGCTAAGTAACAAGTCTCCAGCGAGGGCAAGTCCAATGCAACTCAACATCCAAGGAGAGGGTGGGAATGGAGGTTTGAGAGAACAGACCTTACCCTGTGCACCCCACCCGGCTCCCTAAGCCCTATCCCCAATTGGTGCTGGGGACAGCAGGGGTGACTGAGTCAAATACGAAATAGGGAGTTTTAAAGTGGATACGTGGACAGGACGGAGCTTATTATCTGACAGTGACTGAAAAGTTAATCTGGCAGATGTCAGAGGGGCCTATGACCCAAATGTAGCAATTACTGTAAAAATTAATACTATAAAAGAATGGATTTGAGACAAGCTAACCAAAAGTCAATTCTGGGTTTATTAACAAGACCAGCAACATGATTTGCAGAGCCAGGATTCAGTATCTACTTATCTCTGAAAAACCACTTTCCATAGTGACCTAACTGTACTTTATCTCATGCAACTTAAATTAATGATAAGAAAACATTTCACAAATATCTGAAATATCTACCCAATCCCATTCAGGGATTGGGTGACATTGGGTGATGCAGAAAATTATATCCTAATGTTTAAAAGAAGGTAAAATATTCACGTAAGACAAAGGTCTTTTAATGAAGTAAGAAGAGTTTCATATTCCATAACTGTTGGAAACATCCAGGAGAGCTAGGTCTCTTATTTCCTCTAGAAGTGTGTACAGGCTTCTTCCCTTTGTCTGGCAATATTTTTGATAATCTTTCTTGATGACATTTACTTTGACTTCTTGAGCAAGCTGAGCTTCCTCCATTGATCTAGTTACTTCTTTCACTAAATCACTCTTTAGCAAGAAGGAACTCTGCTGAAAAAGTTCTGTATCTGGCATCATGTATGGTTTGTTGCTTATTATTTCAAGCCTTATTGTATCAGAATGGCAACGTGAGGCCTGTACAGATATTCTCACCTGTCATACAGGAGAAAATGCATATTACTAAATCACAGTCTTTGTTCTTTGCAGTGAAAGCAATACTTAACATAAATACAGACTTACTGTTACGTGGTCAAACAAATGGAACGTAACAGATTCCCCTCCTGTCGTGGTAGAGGTGATTTTGTTTTGAAATCGTTGAAGGGATCCTGGTTTCCATTCAGAATGGCCATCTGGGCTGCATGAGATCACCAAACCATCTTTATTTTTTAGATAAGCAGCACCTTTAATCCCAAACCTGAATCATTGTCAGAATAAAAATCCAGAGATAATATATTCTTAGTATGCAGATTTTGTATACTTATCTAGAATGCTAGTTTTTCTTACAGATTAAAAACAACTTTTCCAAAAAAAAAAAAAGAACTTTTCATCTGATTTACCTCCAAATATCTATTTCATTGAGCAGATGGAAACAAAATATTTTGCTAAATAACAAAATAAAACTCTAAGACTGATACAGATGTACTAGATTCTAATATCCATTTATACTTACATAATGAATTATGTATTACATTATGTACATATGATAACTACAAAACAGTTGCTAAAATAAATGCTTTAATAAATTACATCTAATGTACCATTTATATACCATGTCTATACTTTAAGGTTAACCATGATTTCTTAATAACTATTGTGTTAGAAATAACATACCTTGGTATAAACACAAGCACACCGTTTGTCCTAATTGAATAAATAACCCCATCAGCTATGCAACGCTCCTCAGTTTCTGGGTCTTTGTCTTTAAAATACATGCACTGGAAGAGCTCTGTAGACTGCTTCTGAGAATGCTGTGCTGCCTAAGAAGAAGCACAACCCCAAAGCATGATGGTGGACTTCCCTGACATCCCCACAAGAAACATGGGATTCATATTCCCACAGAAACAATGACTTAAAAAAGGCTAGGTTCTAGAAAACTATTAATACAAACATTCTTCTCTATTATGAATTAAGTCAAATTTGAGGGACCCTTTATCATTCCCTCAAAAATGTCTTAGAAAATTCTTTTAAGAAAACAACTTGTTATTTAAAAACTGTCTATAGTTCATACAGGAAGAGGAAAAGTATCCAGGTCTATGTCTTACCTTTATTTTCAAGTCTGTCCTACCCAAATCCTGCTGGTAGAAGTGCAAATTAGAACTACTATTCTGAAGGGCAATTTAGTAATAGGTATGAAAGTTTTATTTGTGCAGCCCTTTTGACTCAGCAATTCATTATTACCAGGAATTTATCCAGGCAAAATGTGAGAAGTCTGTAAAAGTGTATACACAAGGATGGTTGTAAACTAGATTGCCTGGAACAGTGCTGCCTAACAGAACTTTCTGCAATGGTGGAAACGTTCTGTATCTGTGTTGTCCCATAGGTAGCCACAAGCCACATGTGTCTGTTGGGCTAGTGTGGCTAGTGTGACTGAGGAACTGAAATTTTAATTTAAACCAACCTGACTAGTGGCTATAATGTTGCACAGTATCAAACTAGAACCCTGGATACAGAAAATAATATTAAACATTTAGGCAGCTTCCAATCTTATGTATCACCAAATGGTCTAGTTCCAAGCTGTACAACATTATGGCCACTAGCAACAATATAAAATAGAATACAAAGCAGTTTCTAAAACAATGATGTAACTATATTGACATGGTGTGCTATCAATAACATGTTAAGTGAAAAAAGGCAGGTTTCAAACAGCAGGTATGATTGGATAATTTTATAAATAAAAAGAAGTGTCTAGAATTGTTATTATCTTTGGGTAGTAAGATAATAATCTTTCACATTTCTACATTTTGGGAAAAACATCTAACCCGTGGTAAATCTCATAAATTCACATTAAGTCACTTCAGAACATTTGTAAATGTATTGAGAGCTACTCAACAAACTTTATGATGTTTCATGTTATTTCGTTGGTTGGAATAATTCTAGAGTTTAACTTGCTAGAATATACGGTACTTCATTCCACTATACAATAAAGCTTTTCTGTTAGCAAAAGAGATGATGGGTAAGAGAATTAAAAATTCCCTCTTACTCGGTTTCTGTTGTTGATATGTCTGCATAATTCCTCAAGATCTTTGTTGCTGAACAAATTTTCCTTAATTTCCATTTTCTTATCTTTTGAAATGGCTGCCATTAACAGTCGGTGTACTATAATATCTGAGTATCTTCTTATCGGAGAGGTAAAGTGAGTATATTTATCTAATGCTAGACCTTCAAAAATAAACCAAAAAATCAAAATAAACAAAAAAATATACTTTTTAAACAACTTGCTCAAGGTTATGGGCACACAGAGTAAAATTTTATCATTCACCATAGTGATGGAACTCTTCCTCGGCACATGATCCAGTGGAGAAATACAGTGCGTTAGACATGGCTTGTGTAGCCATTGATCGAAGCAACCAGTTGACAATGGGATCGTTGGGGTCATTTGCATTATCCAGAGAGTCAGCCAGTGCTTTATTGGACCTGACAAAAAAATGTAAAAACTTTTATTTAGTCCCCAGCAATAATTTACAAGTCAACACTCTGAGGGGAACCCTTCACTCACCATCTGAATACGTTCATCTGCCAGTAGTTAAATTTATTTTGGACACATTTCAGAAGCAACTTTTTTCAACTATAGAAATCTAGTTTGCGGGGCTTCCCTGGTGGTGCAGTGGTTAAGAATCTGCCTGCCAATGCAGGAGACACGGGTTCGAGCCCTGGTCAGGGAGGATCCCACATGCCATGGAACAACTAAGCCCGTGTGCCACAGATACTGAGCCTGCGCTCTAGAGTCCACAGGCCACAACTACTGAGCCCGTGTGCCACAACTACTGAAGCCTGCACGCCTAGAGCCCGTGCTCCACAAGAGAAGCCACCGCAATGAGAAGCCTGCGCACGGCAACGAAGAGTAGCCCCTGCTCGCCACAACCAGAGAAAAGCCCGTGCAGCAACGAAGACCCAACGCAGCCAAAAAAAAAAAAAAGAAAGAAATCTAGTTTGCTTTTGAGGTTTAAACAAAGAGTGTCAGAATTCAAATACATTTCTTTTCTTTTTTGTGTGCCATGCTGCGTGGTTTGCAGGATCTTAGTTCCCCGACCAGGGATCGAACCCCGGCCATGGCAGTGAAAGCGCCAAGTCCTAACCACTGGACCACCAGGGAATTCCCTCAAATACATTTCTTAAGTACTGAAGAGTAATGTGCTGAACTTATGAGATGAAGTTATGCTCAGCACATAGTGGGTGGCCAGGTACTTGCTGAATTAAATTCCTAACACCCTTAACCTTAAACATCCTGTACAGGTCAAATAATGGATTTTTTCCTTTTTTAAATCAAGAATTATTGAGCCAGGGACTTCCCTGGTGGTCCAGTGGTTAAGACTCCATGCTTTGATCCCTGGTCGGGGAACTAAGATCCTGCATGCCAGGCAGTGCAGCAAAAAAAAAAAAAAAAAAATTATTGAGCCAGAGAGATTTCAAAAACAAAACAGAACTAAACCTAAGTACACAAGTAAAAGAAACCTAGAAAAAGAAAACCTTTTTCTTTTTTTAAAGAGGGCGAGAGGAAGCATCTATTTACTTACTTTTAAGTAGTTTTTTTAAAACCCAGGAAATATAGAGTTATATTAACAATTTAATAATATAGTATATAATTCAGTTCTGTACCATAGCCTGCCAAGAGAAATGGGGAAGGAGAACGGTGGATGATGAAAGGAGAAGCAATGTGACAGAGTGGGCACTAATGTGAGCTTTCAAGTCTGACAGACATGGATGCCAATCCTGGCTCTGCCCTAACCAGCTGCTAAATTATTGGCAAATTAACCTCTCCAGACTTAATTTCCCTATCTGTAAAATATGAATGAATGATCCAAGCTAACACCTGAAAGCCCTTAGCATGTGCGTCTGGCACGCACTCAGAGCTCAACCGCCGACTAAACGAGTTAAGAGATACTATCGCCTAAAGAGAGAGGCAAAAAAATCAATTTTCATAAATGAATAAAAGATATATTAATTAGCACCTGTTACAACAAAATATTGAAAAAAGAATCCCCTTTATACATCATTTTTAACAGGGAAAATATTTTATCCTGGAGGTGGGGAGTAAAAACGTCTCATTCTACGGAGGTATGGTATAAATTTACCATCGGTGTGGTGTCTTACGATACTGCCACAGAGATAGGCTGCATTTTTAAAGTTTTGAAATAGAGGATTAAGTCTTCGCATTTGCCTAAGGGGCAGATGAAATTAAA